AAATTTTATGCTTTCATTTTCAAATATATGGCATGTCCTTCCAACACCAACACGGCCAATACTTACAACGACAATGGAATGCTTTCAACAAAATTGACAGATTATCTTCCCATTCAACAGAGAAAAATACAGCTATACTAATTCTACCAATTTTGAGCTTGTTAAATATATGAGAGATTGGAGGGGTGTTTTGGGATAATTCTACCAATTCGGGTCTCCAATTTCTGAGTCCAGGTCTTCTTTGAAAGTGAATGTTGGACTTTCTCAAGCCTAGATGTCAGAGCGCTATGAGGATGATGGCAAGTAGGCGAGATTTAATGTCTGGAGCATATCTATATTTCCTATCCTTGCAAGCATATTTAAATTTTCTAGCGCTAGTCAAGACTTTATTCTGGGGCAAACTTTTCTAAGCATTAAGGACTAAGACTTCACAAAATTTACAGGTCCATAAACTAACATATTAAGGAAAAGTGGAACAAAAAAAATTATTACGTGATACGGTAGCAACTCGTATACAGTGTACTGTATATTTACATGGTTTCATTACATTATCCAAAATCTTTTTTGGTGCAAATATATTAATTTCATATATATTCTCGTGCTCTTTTTAAATACTCATCTGCATTGCCGAGTCGAGGTGTTCAAAAACCGGATAAATCGTTAACCAACAAATCCATATACAATTTGTTGAAATGGCTTCTTAAATGTTTGGACTAACTTCACCTTGCACTCCTAAACTTATATAACTTTTGCACTTTGTATCTTAAATTTCAATTTTAGATACCTTACACTCTAAATTCTCAATTTTAGATATTCATTGTAAACAGTACCGTAGTCAAAAATTTGCGGTGCTGAGGTGAGGTGACCACAAATACAAAAGGATACTTTGCTGGTGTTAACATTCGCAGTTAGGGTTGCAACCAAAAATATATATATTTTTTTTTTTGGGTGCTCTCAGTGTTATAAGAAGCTAATTGAATAGTGAGTAAAAAGAATCTTTGCTTGCTATCTTTTAACCGCATTTGATGACATGCGAAAGTATGTTGAAGGGAAAATATGTTTGAAGTGTACGCAAAAGTTACAGAAATAATAATAATGATAATATGAATAATAATTTTGTCATCGCAAGATCAGTTGAAATAAGATAAGAGTTATCGATCACTTGCATAAACTACAAATCAATTGCTCTATGCTTGCACTATAGATGTTCTAGATTTTAACCAAAAAGAAAGCATAAATCATTGTACTTCCAGTTATTTGAGATAATTTATACGAAACGAAGTATAACTAATTCTTAATAGAACTGATAAATGCAATAGTTTATCCATTTAAAAGATGAACGATAAATGAACTAATACTTCAGCTACCCATTTTCTCTTATAAATGCAGCTTCGACCAAAAATTTCTTATTATTTTATTTTATGCACTTTACATATTATAGACTTTAAAGTAATATTTTATATTCACTTTACATTTTGTATGCTAAATGACTCACACTTGAAGCTTCCAAAGCATGAAGAGCTGTAGGGATACAACATGTTGAACACAGCAAAACTAATCTGATATTTGTCATAAGAAAAGACAAATGATATTTTTACTCCAAAAAAAAAAAAAAAAAATCTCCGTGCACTCTACCCTTCTTTTTAACTTAATGAAATAATATAAAAACCTATCAAATATTCTAGGAGACAGCATGACCCCTCTATGTATTCGCCAGTAACTTTGTCTCTTCAATTCGCTTAGTTTTTCCTACTCTAAAATGAGATTTAAATTGTTATACAACTAATAATAAAGGAAATTTCTGATACTTTATATGCAAAATCCCCTAATTGTGTTTGCTATATTTTTCTGAAATAATAAAATCCGGGGAAAAATTTTTTTTGGTGGTTTTTGTGTGTGTGTTGGGGGGGGGGGGGTATATTGGGGATACGCTTTCCCAGTTCTATTGGATTCCAAGTCTTCCTTGAAAATGAAATATGAAATTTTTCTCAGCCACAATATCAGATTTTTAATTTTTCTCGGCCTTATTTGAAGGGCTTTTCCTATGTAGCAATCTGCCGACAGTCTATGTCGATATGTATTATAAAGTCAACTGTTTGTGCTCTTCATAAACTAGTCGTTAATTAACCAATCTTTGTAGATCGTTCAACTAAGTAGAAAAATTTGGTGCCATCAAAACCTTTCAAACCAAACAATCGTTCAACTAAGTAGAAAATGCATCCATTCATAAGAGGAACCATTAGATGCTTACGAGAATAACTCCATGAAAGAGTAGTGTATAAAATTAGTCGTTTCCAGCCAGTTTATTTGGTGAGGTTGTTAATGCTTTCGTTTTCAACATTAAGAAATTTGAAGGCTGCATTTATCATTTGTAAATGCAGACTTCTGTCACAAAGACTTTTCCACGAGATGATCAGGACTTCCGATCTACAATCAAAAGGCCCGTTTGAATTGCTATTTTCTAGAGTTTTTATAGAAAAATGTATTGCAGAGTGACTTGAACAAAAGGCCAAGAACACAATGGACACAACTGTCTTTAGTATCCAATCGATATTTCTACACATAACTCATATGATAAAGACATTGGCAATTTCATGGCTGGCTTAACGCAAGAAAAAAAAACACAATCTCATTCCTTTCTTCTTCCCATTGGCAGTTTAATACTACCAAACTGCCTCACTATAGTACGGCCATATTTCGGCAACAGAGGTCCACGAGGGTGCCATTAATTTTCGAACCATATAAAAGCGGAATCTCCATTGCCAATCACTGACACGATATAATCTGGTGTTAAATGTGCCTTAGTTTCACCATTTTTTCTCAAAAATCAAGAATAGTCAATAGGACTAGATATTGGCCTTTCGTGTTAATTAACTTTTTTATGATACGAGGAACACATTGCAGAACCATCCTTAATCAACCAATGCATTTTTTGAGTGTGTTTGTTTTTTTTCACTAATTCTGACGAAGGTTTCAAAAAGCCCACTCGTTGAAAATCTTTTAAAAATCCATTTAACTCGAACATGTTGAGTATCTAATCCTTTATCCCAAATGGTATGCCATAAGGAATTGCAATTAATATGTTACTGAATGCACTGGTAAGTGATATAGAGAAACTGTTTTGGCGTCCATATACACAATCATGACTCTTTTCTTTTCTTTTCTTTATGCCCTTGTGACTGCTATCCATCTTAGTTCTAGATGCAAAAGCTATGGGTTTGGGAAACTTCAGTGTAAAGAGCAGTATTCCATATATGCTATTTACAAACCGCCATTAATGAGTCCATGGATGCAATTCTTTCTTTAAGAGCTCTCAAACAAGGAAGTAAAATCTATTTAACTTAAATTCTTTACTACACGTCCTTCTTGGGAATGTGCGAAAGGGTTGAAAGAGACTCTAGGTCTCTCTTTTTTTTCCCCGTTTCTTTAGCTTCTTATACCATCCTTCTTGAATGAGAAATGAACATATGAAAACAGATAACAATTTTAGTGAAACATATGATACATGCATGGCAAAATTGCTTCTTCGCTCAATTTATCAACAACATGAAATATTTTGCAAGCTTCTGAAAGTTAAAGTTCTCGTAGAACGGCGAAATGCAGCTCGAAAAGTGCAATTCTTGTAACAATTCCGCGTGATCATGTAACAGGGTCACGCATCATTGTAAAGTCTAACTAAATTTCGTCAAAACATCCATATATGTTTTGCCTTCTCTCTAGAATTAAGAAAGACTACAATCCCATGTGGGATTTTCTATCTTTAACATATAAGTTTATATTAAGCATGATCAGATAAAACATTCAAGAGTAAATCAGCTTCAAATTCAGCATGACGACTGCCAAAGTCCCAAACCATTTGTAGACCTTCCCATAGCCAACATTGTAAGCAACCACAAAACTGAACTCTTTGGTGGTCGTTTCGGATAAGACCATTACAGTCCTCGGGGCAAGATTAGTACCCATTGAAGAACCATTTTCAACTTGGTCCAGCCCATCTTGAGTAAATTCAAAAACTTTTTTGATGTTGAAGTATATTGAGCGTAGCCCTACACATTGATGCCAATTTCACAAGTTGGTTGAGATTGTAAGAAGACAAACTTAACTAGTTAAGGCCCAACCTTCCTAGCTACAATTTTTTTTTTTTGTGGGTAGCGACATAGGTTTAATCATATAATAATAGGATTATTCATTTGATGCATAATACTCAAAACAACTTATTATAATGGCCATTGTTTTCGCATTTTCTAACTCACAACTGAAGTGGTCTGATGGGATCTCATGCGAGGCCATACCAAAAAGATATCTTCTGTAAATCATATTATATTTAGTTCCACTGTACATTTAGTTAATGCAAAACGATTTTTTTTTTCAAGTACTGCTTGTTTTCAAATACAGGTTCGAAAAGGCAAAAATGTTCAAATTGGCCTTAAAGTGTATCATAGATTTAACTTTGGCCTTGACAGTGACAAAGAAAAGGTTATAGACAACGACAGTCCTTCTATAGCCGAATTTACCATATCATCGAATGAACAAATTAAATTAACTAGTTAAGTTAACTACCCCTCAAGAAATTCACGTTCCACCCACTGTACTCCTAGTAGTGCCACGACCAACTCAAGGTTCTTGGTCGCACAAGCAAAAGAAAAGAGGAAGAAACATGTTTAAGCGTGCAAAATATATAACTCTAATAAAGATTGTCGTGAAACAGAACCATGCAAATGCAGTTTTTCCTCCGGATGCCTTTCAAATGACAGCTAAGAAAATGAACTTAAAATTGGGCATATACAAATAGATTGCCAGAACAAGTTTTTTAGAGACTAGAAAAAAACCTTTGGCATCTTAATAATATATTATTGATATATCAGCATACTTAGGGTGGATAACGTAACTTATTTTGCTACATGTTTCAAATCTTGGCATCATCCTGCAACAAAAGACATTGTAAAGATTATTTGAGTGGAACAAACTTAGTCAGTTGGATTAAGTAAAAGAACGTACTTTCATGCCGAGATATTCGAAAAATACTCAGTTTGACGTTTTATCTTTTGAAGTGCAGCCACAACATCCTTCATATTAGTCCGATCTCGTGGGCATTCAGCACAGCAACTCAAAGCCAATTTGAAGATCATTGAAACACACTCCAATTTCTCGCTGAAATGCTCATCTTGTTGCCCAAGTAAGTTTGCGTCTACAACCTGAGTTGTTGCATTAGGTAGAGATTCTTCAATCCAACTCATCAAGCTGAAATCATCTTTGAACATTTCATCACTAGGCTTCATTCTTGAAAAGGTTTCCATCAAAACTATGCCAAAACTATACACATCAACCCTTGTTGACACCTGCCCTTCAAGTCCATACTCTGTGATATGAAAGGCAATCCATCACGCTTAAAGTGAAAAAAAAAATAGAAAACTTGGAAGATTGACATATTATTCATGAAAAAAACAGATAAAAAAAGCAACTAAAAAGAAGTCAAATGTGCCAAACCTGGTGCCAAGTATCCAAGCGTTGCAAGTGTCTTGGTATGCAGAACACTATTTTCTTCATCCAAAAACTTTGCCATACCAAAATCACTCACATGAGCAACCATACTTTCATCGAGTAATATGTTGCTAGGTTTCAGATCACAGTGAACCACTGGTGTTGTATAACCAAAATGCAGATATTCCAATGCGGAAGCAACATCCATCATTATGCTTATCCTTTGCAGCAGATCCAGGCAATGGTTGTGGGAGTACAACCATTTCTCAAGGCTCCCATTAGACTTATAATCAAACACTAAGGCCTTGAAGTCCAGGTTAGAGCAACTACCAATCACTTTGGTAAGGTTTCTATGGCGAAGATTGCGTAGAACTTCACATTCTGTATCAAAACTTCTGGAATTGACTTCTGGTAGTAAAGTGAAAACTTTCACAGCTACAACTGTCCCATCCGTCAAAATACCCTTATATACAGATCCAAAACTCCCTTTGCCAAGCAAATTGCTTTCATCATAACCATTGGTCGCTTGCACAAGTTCATAGTATGAAATCATTTTTGGCAATCCCATGGGCAACAAATCAGTGTTTCTTGAAATCCCATCCTTTCTTCGGCATCTTAAAAGTAAAATTGCAGCAGTTGTAAGAGCAATTATTGTTGCTGCAATGCCTGATAGAATGCCTAGCATATGAAATACTTTCTTCTGACTCGATTTGTGAATCCGAGGAGAAGGACATGGAGGAACATGAAACCTCTGAGCACCACACAAGTCATCATTAGACATGAATGATTCATATGTGAACTTCTCGAAAGGACCACTAGAGGGAATTTCTCCTCTTAAGCGGTTGAAAGAAAGATTAATGTGTTTGAGATATAAAAGTGTCTCCAAGGACTTTGGTATTGGACCTGATAGATTATTATTGGATAGATCCAAAAATTGTAAGCTTAACGCGTGACTGAGTGAGTCTGGAATAGGTCCCTGAAGTTTATTTTGTGCTAATGAAAGCGTTGCTAAACTTTGCAAGCCTCCTAAGGAACTTGGAATATTCCCATTAAGCTGATTTCCTGACAAATCTAATAGCGTTACTACCTTTAAATTTCCAGTTTCATAAGGTAGTGAGCCACTCAATGAATTATATGACAGGTTCAACGTCAAGAGATCCGTGAGATTCCACAAGCTAGCAGGTATGCTTGAGTTTAATAAGTTCCCAGAAAAGTCAATTCCTCCCGGAGAACTAATATTATTTAAGCATGATGGTATTGACCCCCGAAACTGGTTTTGCCCCAAATCAATTTTGTACAATCTCTTTAACTTGCAAATGCAATCTGGAATTGAACCACTTAATTGATTATGTCCCAAACCCAATTCTTGAAGTTTTTGCAAGTATTTCATTGTGCTCGGAACGGGCCCACTCAGGTGATTTCCTCCTAGATTCAAAATCATTAGGCTGCTCAAATTCCCAATTCCATCGGGAATGCTTCCCTTGATTCCGCAACCATATCCATAGAAGCTCTCCATAGAAGTTGAGAGATTCCCAACTGATATCGGAAGAAAACCGTGCAGCGGATTTTCAGCAAAACCTAATATTTTCAGGTACTTGCAATTTGTTAAGTAACTAATAAAGCTCAATTCTCTCGATGAAGGTTCAGTTGTCAAATGATTTTCAACGAGACCCAAATGTCTTAGAAATCTTAGGTTTCCAAGAGAGTTTGGAACTGGACCGCTGAATCTATTTCCAGTCAAGTCTAAAATAGTAAGCTTAGACGCATTTGAGATTGAGGCTGGTATTACTCCATCAAACTCATTCAAAAAGAGAACAAGCACTTCAAGGTTGATTAATCCATAACCTGTGGATGACGGAAGTCTTCCAGAAAGCTTATTGTTCGTTAGGTCCAGTCCTTGCAATGTCGAGATGTTGAATATTTGGGCTGGTAATTCAGTGGCGGAGCTAGGAATTGCAATTAGGGGGGGCGAGTCTCTGTTATTTGGACCAAGTCCAAATAACTTTCAAATATTATTGTTTGGGTCCTTGTGAGGGGGCAAAGTGAAAATTTTTATCAATATTTGGGGGGGGCAAAACAATATAATAAAAAAATTTTTACTTAGAAATTTTTTTTATAACAATTGGAGGGGGGGTAAAGTGAAATTTTTTATCAATATTTAGGGGGGCAAAACAATATAATAAAAATTTTTTTACTTAGAAATTTTTTTTTTTAACAATTGGAGGGGGGGCGGTTGCCCCCCCCGGCCCCCCCCTTCCCTCCGCCCCTGGCTGGTATGGATCCAGTTAGGCTATTGTTGGCAAAAGCAAGTTCTTCAAGATGCTTTAGGCGGCCAAGCTCTTGGGGAATACCACCTAGAGAGTTACCACGCACTACAACAAAAATGGCCTTTAACGGCATTTAAAGGTGTCAGTATAGATAATCTAACCTGACACTTTATCTATCCTCACACCTAGGGCGAGTGTTGTCCCTTCCAATGTGGGGATAGCCTCAAATCTTTAGCAGCATTCAAATGTGTCAGGAATACCATGCTGCTATAGCATTCCCTCTGCCAACAAAAACTTTTTTTGTGATAATCGAAAGTGTCAGTATAGCATTAGAACATCAGTAGCAGATCAGTAGGATATCCAATTTATGAAGGCATCTTCAGTTGTCTTAATATATGGCTTTAAGGACACGTAGCCATGTGAATTTACACTGCTTTGGACGACACGCCCATTTGTCATTAGTGTTTTTCGAAGCTAAGCTATGCTGACACTTTTAATTGCCAGGAGTTTTTTCCCTGTTTTTTTTTTATATGGAAGCAACCTGCAATTAGTCCTCCCTGCTGTACATTCCATCAACCAGAATCCCAAGGGACTTGTAAAATTATCCCAAAGAGCAGAATGCATATAGCAATTTAAAAGAAGAAGTCGATACTCAAATATAATTCATTAAATTAAAAGTCGGTAACAAGTACAAACGTAGCAAGTATTAAAATCCCAAACAAGTACTAAAACATTCTCATGTACACAAACTTGAAATACTTTCTTGTGCACAAACTAAAAGATTCTCATCCCTAACAAGTTGAAAGAACTAACAGTAGCTTCCAAACTTTACAATGAAATGAGAGCTTTCAGTCATAACCACGAAGTCCCCATCAATCTTCAGCTGGTTCCACCTATGCACAAAGTTTGTGGGGGATCATTAGATCATCATACTAACAAGAGCTTTCCAGAAAAGCCACAATGTATTTGCTAAAGATCAAATTAAATTGCCATGATTCCAGAGGCGAAGCCATTCATGATGAGACCTAAGAGCCACGATGTAAAGACATGAACCCCTTTTCCACTACTCTGGATTAGGCCACGAGCCATGTCATTTTGTTTGATTCAAAGTTAGGAACCATTCTAAGGATTTAAATTTGTTCAAATTTTCTGTATTCCACGAAATAATCACTTCCAGGGGGAAATTTTGCAACCCACTCACACTTAAGATCAATCTGCTATCAATGAAAAACTAAACCTTGTATCCACTCAGTAACATAAAGTCAACTGCTAACAAAACTAGTTACATGCATTTCATATCGGCAATTACAGGACAGATCAATGCGTAAAGTTAAAAGCTTTCAGAATAAGTATTAGCAACTCAATGCCCATAAAGCCAATACATAAATGTGCAGCAGTAGCGGATCATGAAGCTTTAGTTGCATTTACTTCTTAAATATTAGCTACAGAAAAGATCATAACGTTTCCCACCTAGAAGCTTTAATTTCATCTTTTAGATACCACCTCATACTTGCCAACAACCATAATCACACCACTCATCCTCTTATACCAACCACAAAGTCCAATAAACCCAATCTCCTGCCCCCTGATCCTCCTCTTCCCCACCCCCCCCAAAAAAAGAAAACTAAAAAAAGAAAGAACAGAACAAGAAATGGTTCTTGGAACATTTACAATTTTCACAACCCTTTCACAACAAATACATGGAAAGCGCTAATGAACATCATCTGTAGGCCCAATTGAATCAAACAAAACTGACTACTAGTCCTCAAGTTACTGTACAACCACTAACCACCGACATGATTACTACCAAAAATGCATCTGCAAAGCAGAAGCAACCTCTTTAATTCATAAAACAGAGTACAAAATCAACCCATTTTAGTACTCAACTTCCATCCTTAAAATCCAGAAAAGGCCATGCAACATCCTTAATCTTCCTCACAAAGACTAAAGACCGTTCTTTGATCAGCTTATACCAAAACCCCACAAAATTAAAACACATATTTTTCAGTTTCAAGAAAAATCACGAGCCTAGATTTACCTTTAGAGAAGACTTAAGGCAACCCTTCCAGTACACAGACTGGAAAACTTAATGATATATTGCTGTCCTATCCTTGACCAGGGCCTTTTAAATACTTAATGTAATTACCTAGTAGATCAAGAATTTAGTTTCTTTTTGGTGTTAATGTTTTCCACATGAATCAGGAGTTTGTTTTATCTTTTCTTGGCTTCCTCGTGAATCAGGGAATGTAGAAAATGGAAACATAAGAGAGATCACTCAATAAAAAACCTATACTAGGTTGTTTTCGTATTTATGGTGAAACCATATATTACCTAATAACTTTTCAGTACATCAAATTGCAATCATGGACAGCAAAATGTGCACTGCATCCGTTGCTTTCGCGAAAAATTTGAACTATACTAAAAGGAATGTCTTAAAATTTTTACCTCCAAATGAGGGAAGTTCTGCATTAGTGCTCAAAAGAAGCTGTGCTTTTGTTCCTGTGCAGAGTCTCCATTTCCTTTCTTTAAGGTAAAATTGTTTGGAGAGGCATTCATGCTAAAGTTTCTTGATACAAAGCCTGCAAAAATAGTTTCCCCAAATTTTAGTAAAGACAAAAGCGAGGCTAAATCAAATGCTTGTATGAGAAAGATAGTTTACCATTTATCATTGCCAGATATACTCTCATTGCCCTACTTCCTAGACTGCAATTCAACTTTCAAAGCCTTAAGAAGGTCTTGCATTTCAATTTGTTGGTTTTGCATTTCAGCTTGTCAGTTCTCCAGCCTTTGCATAAGTTGCTATTGAGCTAGTCCTAAAATTATACATCTCAAACTACACAACATCAACTCCCAAGTTTGAAAAAGAATAACCAAGGAGATTTCAAGTCATGAACAACCCCTCCATATGATACATACCCAGCCTACTCAATCAGATTGAATTTGAGGGAAAAAAATAGGGTCAGATCAAGCACATAACATCCCATCTGTTCCAATTCGGCGTACCCATACAAAAGCTCCAATTAGCTTGCTGGATAAACTAAATCAACCCCAAAAACTAGTGGCAAAACACATCTAATTTAATGTTTTCTAAGTTTGTTGAGTAGGTTTGTCTAATGAGGGAAAGAAGCAGAAAGTATGGTCAACATTTTACACTACCAATGACAACAACCAAAATTTTCCAACCGCTGGTCAATTTTTGTTCAACTCTCCCCCTACCAAGTCCAGCCGTAGTTGGGTTTTGTGCAAAAAATGGTTGGGAAGTAGCGAGTCCTTCCCAAGCGGGCCAAGAGGCAGATGATGCAATTAATCTAGGGGATTCATGATGACAAGGCAAAAATTTTGAACAATTTTTTCCCCTAAGCTGAGGCTGAGGCTAAATACAGATCAGAAAATACAGATCAGAAAACACTAAAGTTGACCACTAAAAGCAAGCATATATACTCCAAAAAACATGACTTCTATTTTAAGTTCAAAATAGAAGTCATCTCTAAGAAATATTTTCAAGTTTTTGGAGCCTCCAGAGTCCAATGACAAGCTGGATGGTCTAAAGAGCAGGGTCAAGTTCAAGATCATGAGCTTGAAAGTAAAAGGTGACATGGATTATGTACCAGAGCTGTTTGATGAGCAAAGGGATCAAGTTGCAGTTGAACAGATTCTGCGGGTTATTTTCCTGGAGCCTGATCATCTTACCCCTGCACTCGAAAAACTGAATCGTCAACTAGCTGAGGCTGAAGCTAAGCTTGAGGTACGCAAAAGGCCTCCTCTAGAGGACAAAGGTCTAAGAGTTCAGATTCCTAAGTCCTAGCGTAGCAAGGTTTGGAAAGAGCAAGACATAGATTGGCATAAGCACACAGATAGAACATGAAGAAGGCGACAGCATTAAATCCAAGTGAAGCTTAAGCAAATCTAGAATAAGGAGGAAAAGCCAGTGAAGTTTCAACACCCAAACTACACATAAATGAGACTAGCATTAACCTTCACTTCCAGCGTGTATCCACGGGTAGCAAGCAGCTATAATCTTCTGTATTCTCTTCATGACGCGTCTTCTCGTGGTAGATGCTTCTTCACCAGAACTGCTCCCAGAAGCTGAGGAATTTCCACTTCCACCAAAGTAGTCTATGTTGCCAAATCTTTCCTCACCCTCACCCCATAAGCTCGCTTGAAGTGTAGCTTCCCTTTCTCTATTGTATACATACTACAATTTGGACCTAAAATACGGCAACACAACCTACACAACGTTTATCCAACTCAGAACACAGTAAACAAACTCTACTAAAAATAAAAAAAGCCAGAAGCTTGCTTGAGTGTCAAAAAGGAAGGATCTTTGACAACAGAAACATATCCAGCATTAAAAAACGACCAATCGAGAGTAATGAGAACAACCGATAAAAAAAAGGACTTATTTCAAAAATTATGAATCGTCACATAGACAAAATTCTTCTCCATTATGCAAAACATGAAGTAACTGAATTTAAGGAGTACCAAAAGAAAACGAAACAATTACCAAAAATACAACAGAGAGGATTTTCTGGCGTTTCTCTAAACCATTATGATGAATTGCGTCAGCAGGGGAATCCAATGGCAAAATCTTCTTCTTGCTGTGAATATTATCCTTTGTTTTTACTTTAATATTAACCGCTCTTCTTCTCAACCCATAAAGAGACTCGGCAAAAGAAGCATCGGTTGTTCTCAAGCTGTGGGTTTCCAAGACAAGCATTAGCAAAGCGAAGAATTCATCCTCATAGTCCAGGATTTTGTGAATAAAGGGTCTTCTTAAAGCCAATACCTACAAAACAAAACAAGCCCAGTTACTGAATTAAAACAAAAAAGAAGACAAAAAAACAAGAATTTTGATGAAAATTGAAGAACCCAGATGGAGTTTGAACTTTGAGTAGCTTACGCCGAGAGAGTAAGTGAGAGCAGCACGAAGACTAGAAGGGAGCTGTTGGGCAGCGGCCATTTCGAAGAAGGTGGGACGAGTCCCTTGTCCTCCTACGATATCTTCGAGCTTGTGGCCGGATTCCTTACCGGAATTGCCTAATTCTTTTGCTAAGAAATAATTTCTGGAGAATCTGAACTCGTCCTCTTTGATGGTGCGACGGGACGGCAGAGATAGGGAGCAGAGGAGAGGAAATTGGCCGAGAGAGGAGGGCAAAAATTGGTATTTCAGATTTAGGCAGACAACCAAGAAAAATCAATTTAGGGCAAAAATTTATCATGTAATTACATATCTTCAATGGGAAAACATGGGTAGTTTGATTGTGGAGAGATTCAATAGAAAAAACTCTTCGGGGAAAGCAAAATTTTGGCCAAGAGTTTTGACAGATAATTTGCCGAGAGAGAGAGAGAGAGAGAGAGTTTGTGAGAGAGATAGGAGAAGCAAAATTTCAGCAGGCAAAATGAGGTTTTGAAATTTCACTAAGTGTTTTGGCAAAGCAATCTTCCGCCAAAATCAAACGACGCCATTTTGTGTTCTAATTTTTTTTTGGTGCATCTCACATTTTTTCAAATGTCATGATAGGTAGTCTAAAGACACATTATTATTCTTATATCAGATAAAATAAAATAAAAAAGAGTATAAATTATTGATTTGATAACAAGTGTAATGATAGAAGTGCTATAATGACACAAACCATCAAGTGTCCTCGTATGTATGTCAGGAAAGGCTATTTTTGTTGTAGTGACGTTTAGAAATGCTAATGCATGACATGGATTAATTAAGACACTAGCAGACTTCAGGCTGTGCTAAGCACAGGTCATGCCCTCTAAATTTCACGGACAATAAGGTGAAAACCATTCTTTCGCATAAAATCAATAGAAGGAGCAAAAATAGAATATATGCCCACTTATGTACATTACTAACTATAAGAGCAAATCTTAATCCTATCACTAAATACTACTCCTTCCGTCTCACTTTGATAGTCCTGATTTTTTTTTCACAGAGTTTAAAAAAAATAGTTAACTTTGTTGGAACAATCAATTTAGGTAGTTATTTTCCTAAAATACCCTCAGATTAATTAGAGTACAACTTTATGGGAACTTGAATTGATGGTAAAAAAAGAATCAATTCTCATTAAATGGGGTAGGTTTATAGTAACAACAACTTACATTGAATAAGGGTATTTTAGGAAAATTAAAATACAACTACATTCTTCAATTAGAAAGTGGACTACAATTTGGGACAGACGAAAAAGGAAAACAGGACTATCAAAGTGGGACGGAGGGAGTAATTACTAATTAGCTAACTTAACTATAAATATACTTGGAAGTAAAATTTTAATGGAAGTTGATACGTTGGAGTTTAGCTTAACAATTAAATTAAAAGTTCTTGTTTATTTCAATGTTGTTTAAGAATTGAGATTATGAGTTAGGACTTAGGATTATGAACCTCTTTTTTTGGCATAGGCATATTGTTTTCAAATTAAGTTGATTGAATTTTATTACAAAAACATATGGGATAATATTTTATTACAACAATTTTTTTAGAGAAAAATAAAGTATTTTAACTAACTATTGATATTTTAGATTATGGTTATTAC